CCATGGCAACCCACTGCCACAGGGGCTGCAGCCTACGCCGTCGCTGTCGCCTCATGGCAGCCCAGCTCCAGGTTGAGCAGTTGTTCAGCATCTTAGCTGTGGAGGGCAGTGTCACTGGTCCTCATATGTGGGATCCGAACCGGGGCCCTCTGGCATCCCAAGCCAGTTCTTAACCATCGCGCCATTCGGCCGGCCCTGGGCTGTCTTTTTATTGTTGAGTTTTAAGAGTTCCTATATATTTTGGAGTATCTAAAAGTGCTTTATTAGATATATGATTTGCAAGTATTTTCTCCCATTCTGTGGGTTGTCTTTTCACTTTCTTGATAGTGTCCCCTGAAGTACAAACGTTTTAAATTTTGATGAAGCCCAATTTATCTATTTTTTGTTGTTGTTATTGCTTGTGCCATTGGTGTCATATCTAAGATACCACTGCCTGATCCAAGTTCATGAAGATTTATGCCTATGTTTTGTAAGAGTTTTACAGTTTTAGTTCTTACATTTAGGTCTTTGATTCATTTTGAGTTAATTTTTGTATATGGTATGAAGTAGGAGTCCAAATTCATTCTTTTGCACAGGTTGCAGGTTTTGGTGTTTGCAGCACCATTTGTTTCTTTTCCTCAAGGAATATTTACTGAAGTAAATAGAATTGATTTTAAGAAGCCTAATGAACCCAACTCTGAGGTTCTGGTTTAAATAGAATATAATCAATAAAGGTAACTTCTAGGTCAACACAAAACCTTTTCTTTTTTGAATAAGGAGTAGAATTAGAGGTAAGACACTAATGGAAAACAAAGGTGTCTACTTTAAACCCCTGGAGTTCCCAAATTATACTACTCCCTTCTAAAAATATTCTTAGAAGTGTCTAAGTTTAGGTACACAGGGTCATGTGAAGGCAAGAGAATTATTAGTCAGATGGCTAGTGATATAGCTCTGTGTAAGCTTGGATCTACTCTCAGGTACATGTAATTCTTCCCAAAATATGGGGGAAAAAATACCTCACCTGAAGATTTATAAGATTTGTCTCCCTTGCTTCTTGTCTTGTTCACCTGACTTTGGTTTCTGCTTCTTTGTTACAGAAAAGAAGAGGAAAGGCTCAACCAAGAAAAAAAAGTTGCTGTTTATTTAGACGATACTGACTAACATTCTTATATGGTGAGGTTCATAAATGGGTTAATTTCTTTCCTTTGCTTTCTTGTCTGGCTCATCTCTAATGTGGATCTCCAAGATTATATAATTGTTAGATGTTTCCTATATGAAACTAGAGGAGCATGGTTAGGGAGATACAAGTCTTCTATTAGTGTAATGGCTTCCCCTTCGAGTGTGTTTTGTGCAAAGTATTAGGAAACTAGACCCTACTACCATTAAAGCTGAGAGAATTCTAAGGTTATTTGAGGTTTTGGGGTTATATTTTTCATCCAGAATAGTAAATTAACTTTCAACATGTAAATAAATATTTTTAAATGAAAGAATTAATACCTGCTTGTTTTGTTTTATTGTAAATCAATCATGGCATTAAAAGAGTGACTCAATAGGTATACCTCACATTTTGATAGAAGAACTATTGTACTATTTGGAATTGATTTCAGCTCCTTTCATTTTAGTTATTGGGACCATGAATCCAATTTTAGTAGTGTGTAGTTTTGTTTTTCCAGTTTTCAGGATTATTAGGCTTAACAGGTGGGATGGTTTATTTTTTTATTTTTATTTATTAAAAATATTTTATTGGGGAATTAGGGGAGGGAATAGCGCTGGGGAATCGGGGAAGGGGAACAAACAAGTTGCTGTCTTTTTGTTCTTCAGTCTAGTTGTGGAGGACGTCGCTTCGCTGGCCCATGTTGGTATCATGATCATTGNAAAAAAATTAAGTTAAAAAAAGCATATAGAATAAGGGTATAAAGAAAATAGTTTTGTACAGCTGTACAATGTGTTTGTGTTTTAAGCTAAGTGTTACTACGAAAGAGTTGAGAAGTCTAAAAAATTTAAAAGTTTATAAAGTGTTTGTGTTTTAAGCTAAGTGTTACTACGAAAGAGTTGAGAAGTCTAAAAAATTTAAAAGTTTATAAAGTTAAAAAGTTACAGCAAGCTAAGGTTAATTTATTACTGAAGAAAACTATTTTAAAATAAATTTAGTGTAGCCTAAGCGTACAGTGTTTCTAAAGTCTACAGCAGTGTGCAGTCATGTCCTAGGCCTTCACATTCACTCACCACTCACTCACTGACTCACCCAGAGCAACTTCCAGTCCTGCAAGCTCCATTCATGCTAAGTGCCCTATACAGGTCTAGCATTTAAAATCTTTTATATTTTTACTGTACCTTTTCTGTTTAGATATGTTTAAATACACAAATACTCACCATTGTGTTACAATTGCCTACAGTATTCAGTACAGTAACATGCTGTGCCAATAAGTCTAGGTGTGTAGTAGGCTGTACCATCTAGGTTTGTGTAAGTGAACTCCATAATGTCTGCATAATGACCAAATCACCTAACGATGCATTCCTCAGAACATACCCCCATTGTTGATGCATGGCCGTGATTACCGAGTCACTTGCCCATCTTCCCAGTGGGCACGAGTTCCTTGAGGGTAATGTCTTTCTTTTTTTTTTTTTTGGCTTGGTAGTTCCATCAGTGCCTAGAACATGGTAGGCCCTTACCAAACTTGAATGACTGACTGAATGGCAAAGGAGTTAGGGAGAAATAATTTGGGCCCTGGATTTGATTAGGTCAGCAATAACCTTACTCAACCATTCCAAGTGGTTTTCACAATTTTAGCATGCATCAGAATCACCTGGAGGACCTGTTAAAACATTGCTAGGCCCCACCTGTAATTCAGTAGGCCTGGGGTGGGGCCTGATAATTTGCATTCCAAAGTTCTCAGGTCATACAGTTGCTGCTACTCCTAGGACTATAGTCTCAACCACTAATGTAGCCTGTATGGCTTTCCTACAGCTAGTAGAGTTTACAAGGTAATATGGTAGGAAAAAGGAAGATTCCATTTAATGATGAAAATACATCTCTATTATATCTTTAGATTTCATCATAGTCCTTCTCTTTTATAGGATCCTAACTTGATCTTTTTCCTCCTTACAGCACGCTTCTCTGAGATCTACATCCTGGCCCTGGCCATGGGCTCTGCCTGTGCACTGATGGTCATAATAGTAATTGCTGTGGTCCTCTTTCAGCATTTCCGGAAAAAGCGATGGGCTGAAAGAGCTCATAAAGTGGTGGAGATAAAATCGTAAGGCTGGGCAGTTGGGAAAATCCTCTAAACTCCTTTATTGTGACGCTTGGTATTTTTTCAATGAGGCTAAGTAACTGTTGAACATATTCTTCCCTTTGAGTAAATCTTATATGGAAGAATTCAAATTCACAAAATGCATAAATTAGGGTGTGAATTAGTAATTTTACAAAAAGTTTCTTAATTTTAAAGATCCCATTACAGGCTTCATCACGGAGGATTTGATATTACTAAATCTGCTGTGTAAAGCTTTTTTAGGATACTCCTTACTTTAATGTAAAACACACATTTCTAAGAACCACTGGACAGTCAGCAGAGGCACTATGAATCAGCGCCTTGGAATGTCAGCTGTGCTGATATAAGGCGCTCAACAAAGATTTTTTTATTGGGATAAAATTTATATACTATAAAATTCATCCTTTTAATATTTAATATTCACCACTAATTCCAGAACATTTTCATTATCCCTCCCCTCACTCCAAAGAAACTCCATACCCTTTAGTTATCACTCCCTATTTTCCCCTCCTATCTGCCCCTCACAACTACTAATCTGCTTTCTATCTCTATGGATTTGCCTATTCTGGACATTGCATATGAGTGAAAACATACAATATGTGGCTTTTTGTCTGGCTTCTTTGACTTAGTATAATGTTTTCAAAGTTCATCCATGTTATGGCATGTAGTAGTACTTTATTCCTTTTTATGGTCACATAATATTCCACTCTGTGTGTGTGTGTGTGTGTGTGTGTGTGTGTGTGTGTGTTCAGAGGGTGCCAACAAATGTATACACATTTTAAAGAAAACTGTATTAAAATTGTAATACTCAATATATACTGATAACGAAAAATGAATACAAGTCACGTTTGACTTCTGCAATTACAAAAGGTGCTCAAAGTGGTTACCATCCGCATCCAGACATTTCTGACTATGGCAAACGACTGCTTGAGCAACACTTGACCAAACATTGACCACTTTATATGGATTTTTGGCACCATTGGTGTATATGTGCATATATACATAGATAAACAAAATATATATTATATACAATATAATATACATATTATATACAATACATAATATAATATTATATATTATATATTTTGTTTATCCATTCAGTTGATTGACATGGGTTTCCCCCCTTTTTGGCTATTATGACTAATGCTGCTGTGAACATTCATCTTCAAGTTTTTGCGTAGACATACGATTTCAATTCTTGGTACACATCTAGGAGTGAAATTGCTGGGATATGTGGTAAATCTGTGTTTACCTTTTGAGAAATTGCCAGACTGTTTTCCAAAACAGCTGCACCATGTTACATCCCCACCAGCAATGTACGAAAGTTCCAATTTGTCCACATCATTGACAACACTTGTTATTGTCTGTCCTTTTGATTATAGCCATAGTGGGTGTGAAGTGGCTTCTCACTGCGGTTTTGATTTGTATTTTCCTAATGACTAAGGATGTTGAGCATCTTTCCATGTGTTTATTGGTCATTTATATATTTTATTTGAATATATCTATTCAAATGTTTT